TAAGCACGGCCGTCGCTGTCACTGAGTGCGGTTACAAGACGATGACTCTGAAAGTTCCACGCGAAAGCGGGAGGCTCCCTGTCCCAACATGAGCCGAATGAACGATCTCATCCCAAGCCGATCCTAGCTCTGCCGGCCACAAGTGAGTGGCCATACGCCACTAAAAAAAGGCCAAAATGATGCACGGCTTACGACAAATCCACAAACAGCTTGATCACAACAAGATCAAACACCTTGAAGCAACACAACTATGACAAAATCCCTGTAAACTGCTTGATTAAACACAAGCACTGGACGGCGGCTCTTCAGCTGCCCCGGAACTCGTCCACTCGTCCGCGCCTGCATCTTCGCCTGTGAACGGCGAGATTGGGGTAAACCACGGCCACTTGCAAAGCTTTAGAACTGCCAGAGGCTTGGTCTCAAATCAGAATGCATTCGGAAAAGGGCTGGGCTTTGAAAAGAAAGGATGGTGGAAAGAATGGTTGGACTCCAGCAGACTTCCAACTTAGCTTTGCTTTGCCGAATGAGGCAAGGGCTGCCAAACGAATTGTACTGTCTGAGCAATGCGAGATAGCGTTGCCCAGAACTTCTTTGCAAGTGAACATGCTGGTCTCAGTTAATGCTTGCTCTGGGCATGGGCACTGTACCTGCATGTCTGGAACCTGGGCTGTCCTCTCCCGCGCTAAAAGCTTTGAATGAAAAAAAATAGTCGGTTTGCACATCCAACAACTCAACACACAAAATGCTGAACAACCGGAGAAACAAAAGGAAAGTGATGGATTCTCCATAAGCATTGTTTCTCTTTTTCTAAGAAGGAAACAAAGGAAATAAACAGGTGCTCATTTCTCCCCTAGTGATAGATTCCCCCTGTTCTAGTGATGGATTGTGATAGACTTACATCTTTTGTTCTAGTGATAGATTCCCCATAAGCATTTGTTTCAAGGGAAGTAAACAGGTGTTCATTTCTCCCCTCGTGATAGATTCCCATTTAAACAAAAAAACACAGCAGGAACTAAGCCGTTGTTCATCTCTCGCCTGGTGATAGATTGCCCATTAAAAAAACAAAAAAACAAAAAACGGGGGGGAAACCATCCACATCCTGTTACGCCAATGGAAGAGAGATCGACGCCGGATGGCTTGGTCACCAATGGCTGCGCTTCTTTGGGCCACGCTTTTTCGGTGCTGGTTTGTGGTTGGAAGATGCCAAAACGAAGCGGGCCAAACGAACATGCCACAAACAATCAAAACACCCCAAAAAAACAAAGGTCAGGCTGGGCGCCCCCTGAAACAAAAAAAACGCACTGGGTGCCGTGACAATTCTCCATACCCTGAGCATGAGCAGGGTCCCATCAACAACACAGACACCGATTGCTACAAGTATGTAGCTTGGGGTGGGCGACTGAAGTCGCACTCTCAACCTCCGTCATTGGCTGGTTTGTGCAGCACAGAACTCACACGGGTATGAATGTTAATTAGGGACCCAAAATTTCCCAAATAAAGTTATTGGCCACATTGGCCACCAAGTCTAAACAGTTTCGAGCGTGGGTTTTGACTTAGCCTTCAAACACTACCTTCATCGTGATCGACACCGAACAACACACGAACCATAAATCAATCACCCACCCAACAAACGAAGAAACAAACAAACAAATGAAAAAGAAGAACAACAACAAAAACAAGTAACATGCGCATACAAACACACAAACACACGCGCGCACACGGAGCCAGCTCATTGTGGGAGCAAAACGCTGTTCAGCCAGGCTCTGACCTCACCAATCTGGGTTGCCTCTTTCCTGAGCAAAGGTCTAGCCTTTTGCTAGGTATACTAACAAAAAACATGTGGCTGCGGCTCAAAACCAATGGTACCATTTTGGGGTGGGTGTACAACCCATTTTAGTCTACTTTAGTGGGGATTGGGATGTTCACTGTGGGTACAATTTGGCTTTTGACCCATGGCCATGTGGCTGCGGCTGAAAATTTAGGAGCCGTTACGCAGTCAGTCTTTGGCTCCGTTTCCCAAGCGATACATTTCTTTCAGCCAAACGGTCGGTGTCCAAACGGTCGGTTTCCCTGCGACTTTGGACTTCGGGGCCGGGCGACGAGGAAATCGATCCTCGCCGAGGCCGCGGCTCTTTCCAAGGACGCCAGCGAGTTTGCTCTTGGCCCCGGACTCAGCGACAAGCGAGCAAGCGGGGATACGGGAGAGATGGGCGAGAATTTTGGGGGATTCAAACTTGGCGCCATGTCCCATATCAAACTTCAGGTGCATTTAGGGAATGGAATTCCTCCCGTATCAAACTGGTTCCCCCTGTATCCCTGCTAGTTGGTTTCCCTGAGCAGTGAACAAACATTTCGACGGAGTTCTGGCGAGCTCGAAAAAAAAAGGGCGGCCGGATATTTTTCATCGCTGAGCTCGGAACAAGGCCCTGCCCCATTGCGGCACCTGACAAGTTGGGTCGTCTCATGTGAGACTGGTGGCTCTCTCAACCAGAGTGTATGATGGGATTCTCGACACACCACGGCAGGGCCACAAGCCGACATCAGTGACCCATGTTGGACCAACCAAGAAGCTGGGGAGTTATATAGCTCTGCGGTTACTAGCCCATGTTGTCGTTCCAGTACAAGTACAAGGATTAAATTACCCTTTGGTTGACCCAACACTTACGCACGCTGAGGCTAACCACCAAGCGGCTAAGCGATGGATCGATCGCAGGAAAGGCACCTTCCGCGCCTTCACACGGATTTGCTCATCTGCGAGCCAGCCAGCTGAGCCGAAAGTAGGAGCCGGGAGTCCCCATGACAGCTTCAAAATGGGGTACCCATAAGTTTGGGGTAATGAACCGTCAAAACCTGATGGCGAAGTGCTTGATGTTGGACGATTCCAGCATGCCCAAGCGGTTCTCTAATTTGATTCAAAAGCGCCTGGCTTAATCCCCGATGGGCTATGAACATTCTATTTTGGGCCCACTTTCATTTGGGCGCCACGGCCGGTTGCCCAGGAATGCCTAAGCCAGCGGCAACCCTTGCTATGAAAGGCAACTCTTGCAGATGTCTTCTTGAAACCCTCCACCAATGGGTCCCTGATTTTCACGCGCAGCAAAGCCAGTTCGCTCAAGGACAGATTCTAGGCATCTTTGAGTCAGCAAAGCATGGATGTATTTCAAGATCGGATGCCCTCTTTTGGCAGAGATAAATCAAAGGCAAAAACATTGTGCGAGGTGCCCAACATTCCGAGACAACTCCGTAATTATGCTCCGAGTATTGTATGCTCAGCTGCCCAAAGGACCCAGAAACAAAAGGTTAACCTTTTGGGACAATGACTAAATATGGACCAAACTAGGAAAACCAAAAGGTCAAAAGGTCGGCTTTAAACAACTGAGTATGGTAAAAAGACGAAGTCATGCACATCAAAGACCATGAAAGCAGGTTCCTGTACTTTGCTGCATCTCCACAAAAGCTTGCTGCACGTGACGCTCCTTTTCAAAGCCGATTTGGCTTCGGATAAACTACATACTCCATGCTCGTGGCAGTGCACGCAGCTGGAGGCTACATGGTTGGGGGGCAGCACGGGCAACACATGCTTCTTATTGAATCGGACGACACACACACAGTGTCAAACAATCAATCTGCGGTGTTTACACATTTCATGCAGCAAGAAGACACACATCCAGACTCAAGCAGGTGCTTGCCGATGCAAGCTCGTCTTCAAGCGCTTCTACCTGCAAGGGAGCTCAAACACGATGAATATATATATATATATATTATGCCATGGTATGCACAGAATGACACACACACCACACATGACTGGGCTGCCCTCAGATCCTCCGCTAAAAGTTTGACTTTTATTCGTTGAATGGAAACCCCAACACTGAAAAGATCTAAAAAGCATAAGGAACCGGATGGCTGGGACCAGGATATGCGATGACTCCGCTCATCCGCTGTTCCCAAGCTTCAGGTGTCGGTTGCTTGGTTGCACAGCAGCCATGAATCGGATCCCTCACAAGGCTCATACATTCCTACAAGTAGATGGCCATCCAAACGAACATCCCGTTAGCACCAACCGAGACTGTTCTTCCAGAGTAAGCCGATGAGCTAGCAGAGGGCAAGGCAGGCAGCAAAACCACGGAAATGAAGATCCATGAAGCAACCACAGCAATCTCAAGCAAATCTCAAACAGGTGGCTACACATGGCTTGCCATGACATCGCGACCCACATATTCCGAAACCTATCTCGAAATGCCCCATCTTAACTGCCGTTGTTCGAAGCCCCCTTCTCCAGTTCTGAACGAAAGAACACTGGGGAGCTTCTCACTCACCCGCCTGCGGTGCTGTCAGACACAGCGAATCCGCCAAACAAAAAAAGAAGGAAAAAACAAAGTTGACCAACGGATCCTTGACCAACAAATCCCCAAGGCACCTAACAATGGCTCCTCCCCACCAAAACAAAAACGGAGCAACGAAACAAAGCAACAACCACCAAAAACAGCTGGCAGCATGCTGTGCATCTGCTTCACTGGCCTTCAAAGGCAACGTTGGGCTGGTTGACACCTGGCACCGTGCTGATCTCACAGCGCCGTCCAGATGCACAACATGATGCCCACTTGGCTGTGGCTCAACAAAAACGTACCAGAATGGCACCTTGGTAAGTGGAACCAAAGACTAGAACCTGCGTGGCTTGGGCTTGGGAGCAGTGGCCACTTGCCACTTGCCCTCCACCAAATCGCTGGAATCCTGGTGTCGGCGCTGAAATCCTTGCCATAGGCGCTCGCACCATTGAAGCTGACCCCAAGCTATTGAGTCGGCTCAATAAACCGACCTAGATCCGGGTTCCGCAACTAGGTCCTCCAGTAGAGAGGTTAGAATAAGGGTGCCCATTTTTCTGTAGTCTATTTTAGTATTGGATTTGTTTCTTAAAAAAAAAAAAAAGGTAAAAGGGCACTACTGGGGGACCTAGGCAAGCGTTTACGCACCTCTGGACCTCCGGACCTCCGGACCGCGCCTCACACCATCCAGCGCTGTGGTCTCTGCAAGCTCCCCAGAGCCAGCTCGTTGCCTTTCCGGAGCAAAATCGCAAGGTACAATCAAATACAACGGCCAAATGCCTCAAAGGAGGTCACTTCACAACATTTATAGCCGGAAGATATATGATACATGATAGTCAAAGGAGGTCACTTCACAAACAAAATATAGCCGAAAGATAGATTAATGATGTGTTTGGGCTCAGTGGCGTCTGTGGCGGCTGTGGTTAAAGGACAAACTCCCATTTTCTCACGGACAAGCGGTCCTCTCGGCCGTGCGCAGAAAATGGGGCTGACCTTTAAGCCCATCTTCTGAGAAATCGAGCCTCCCTCAAAAAGGACTTCTACTGAAAGCGGCAGGGTACTTAGTATGTGGTTAGTAAGGCTCGTTATAACCCGCTTAGGAGACTTATAACTATGGTAAGTGGGTTATAACCAGGCTTACTCACCACTTACTAAGTACCCTGCCCCTTTAAGTAGCCTGAAAAATAACAATCGTTCCTGTATTCCTTGACGTGGTTTAATAGGCGGCAACAGGCAACACCTATCAGCAAACTGGATCCCGCAAATATCCTAATCCACAATCCGGTATGTGACAGCTACAAGGGAAATCACCTACAAGAACTTCCCATGACTACCGTATCACTTCAAAGACAATTCCCAACAAACAAGGAAACAAGCATGTGTTCCACTTCACGCAAACCTCCATCTCCAGGAAAAATGGGGGAGGGGTATATGATATGCCCTTAGCGGCTATATGTTGCATATGCCATTAAAGTCTTGAGGGTACGTAGCGGTAGGAGGCAATGGAAACCATCTTAGTGTTCACCCCGGCTTAATACGCCCGTCCCATTCATACGGAAGTGGTCCTTCCAAAAGTGAGGGGGGCACTCCAAAGACATCGGTGGCTTTCCGAACCATCGGATGCACCACAGCGCTTGAGGATCCAACCATAAGCAATGGCAAATCCTCCTGGGCAGACGGAGAACACTTTCAGGTCCTGCGAGGCCGGAGCGGTTGGAGCGGCTAGGTGTGGCGTGAAAACGGATACAGGCTTCCGCACGGGCATGTAATATACGGTCTAGAAATATACGTGTTTCTAGGCGTATACATGTATATGCATATACCTATATGTATACACGTACTAGACTGATATATCTACGTGTATATATTGTAAGCCATATGTTTTTTGCCTCCCAATGATTTCCCTTCACCGGCCTGGAAAAGGCCGCAAAAGCACGCGATCCCGGACCTAAGAAACGCCCGGGGGATCACTTGGGGAATTTTCGGGACCCCTGTACCGAGAAAAAATCGAGAAGCGGCCGTTGCCACTTTTAGGGGTTCCGTGTTCGAAGTCAAGGGAGCGGAGCCAAGTTGTATGGCTTGCGATTGGCGAGTTGGCTCTGAATCAGTGGATTTGGAAGGCCACTGAAAGGGGCGATCGGGTACTTCGTACGTGGGGTTATAACCCACTTTGGACACTTATAACCATGGCAAGTGGGTCTGCCCCATTAAGCAGTAGCCATTTTCAACATCCAGTGCGCACATTTTGCCAGGGTCCCATATTGTTTTCGAAAACGGAGAATTCCCTTTTTGGGCCGGTGGATTCCAAAGCAGAGAATAAACATGTCCCTCTGCACATATCCAGCCCCCTTTCCAAGATGCCGAAAAAAACAGCTGTCCTCGCGGGAAGTTCGCCCGCGGCCATCATATGCCTGGCCAAAAACTAAAATAACTTTGCCGCCTTGCAAAAGCAAGGTGGAGACAACACGTGTTGCAATCAATCCTGCCATGATTAGAGTTAGGCCTAGTTGTAGAATGTATATTTTATTGTTTGCTTCACTTTGAGCCCCTGGTAGATTGTAAAATGTATCCTAAGTCTAGACCGGCTGCATTTCTTTCGTCACTGGACAGCACCCCCAACTTAAATACTCACACACCATTTGCTTTACGCGTGACTTCAAGAGCAAGCACGAACGGCAGCATGGCTTGAGACAGCCGAAACTGGGTGAATGAATGCACGAAGTTGCCCGATGCAAACGTTCACTGGCGCACAAAGGATCACGGCTTCTGACCAAGAAAAACCCTTTCCCCCGGTTTCTGGAAAATTGGGGGTGCACATGACATCGGTTGAAAGGAACACTTTACCCTGCTTGACTGGAGCCCGGAAACTTCGGTTGAATGGAGCTATTAATTAAAAGGGAAGCTTCCTCAAAAAAAAACTCCAAAAACGTCCTCCTCCAAAACTTCCGTGAATGGAAACTTAGCCGCCAAACAAGGTACCGCCGTCTTTTGACAGGGAAACTTCTGTTGACTGGAGCGCCCGGCCTCCGCGACTGTGCAAAGGCACCTGAGTGACTGATGGCTACATCCGCCCCGAACGCATTTTGTCGCTTGCTCAAATGGGTGTGGCTTTTCCTCAGGGTACCCTGTTTTGGTGGGTTTTCAAGAAAAACTAAAAAAACACCACCAGATTGGGGGTTCCCTCATTTTGAGACACACCAGTTCTGGGTATGTGTCAAACATCCTCCAACCCCCCCCCCCCGCCAAGGTGTTTTTCCTTGCGCTTTCCAAGCTAACACGGCCCCGAACGAATCGGTCTATGCCCTGCATGCCTGAACCTGAGGCATGCACTCCGTCATGCAGGCTCCAGGACTAAACCTCCGCGTTTCAAGCGACTTGCTCCAGAGCCTTTACACGCTGCACGGGGAAACCACAGGGAAAGCTACACAATTAACGGGGGTCCCCGATATTGACACAAACCCCATATATGCCTGACTGGAACCCTACGATACCAGGCAGTACCGTTTTCAAAAATGGCCACGAGCTTTACGGGCACTTTGACATAGTGAGTCCTCCCATTGTGGTTGAGTTTTAGAGACCTCACAACTTGGCTGGAATTAGGACCCCAGAAAAAGCCTGGATAGTGGAAAACAAAGGGAACCCCAAAAAATAAAAAATAAAAAAGACAAGAAAAGGAAGTAATTCTGGGGAAGAAAACCGGTTGCGTCCTTCTGGTGCCCCATCAACCCAACCCATGAAAAGAGCACCGCCCAACAAAAATGCGGACCAGTACTTCCATTTCCTTAAGCCGCCGGGGAAAAATATATTTCCAGTGATAGATTCCCTTTGAAACCAACTAACAAGGGAAAATAATAAAGATTCTTAAGCAAGGGAAAATAACAAGGGAAAATAACAAATATTCTAACAAGGGAAAATAGCAAATATTATTGAGCAAATAGAAGAGTAGTTTGCACTGAAACAGGTTCTCCGAACTCAAACCGGCCGTGCCTGTGCAGTCTGAGACGCGATCGCCCCAAATCTGGCGGAAAGCGGAGGCTCTGAACACAACCATAAACAACAGCCCTGGCATTCCAGGGATTGGGTGACCCTGAATGGGTTCCAAGTTTCTTCTTACCCGGGCGCTATAGACATCAGTGCCCTTTGCAAACCGGAACCCGTTAATTGGAACCCATCAAAACGGGTGCCGTGACTATTGCAGGGAGAAACGGAACAACGACCATTGGGTCCACCTCGCGCGACGCCAACCAGGCCGGGCTGGCTCGTATCGGCACAAACAGCGTAAATGCTGCCTGCACGTGCGTTCGGGCTTGGGCAATTACCCTCCAGTAGAGGGTCCACAAGATAGTTTTCCAGGACTCCAACTCAGGCTCCATGTTCGTGGACGGGAGGGTAATCACCTTTGTTTCCACAAACCCCGTTTGCTTTTCCTTTGAAGGGGCCAGTGTCTTCCAAATTCTGTCCAGCCCTTGCTTTAGATCCCGATGCCAATCAGCTGGCTACCACTCAAAACACCGAAACCACGTGCAGTCCTGCGTGAGTACGAAATCCATTTGCACCGCAAGATGAAACCAAGGGAAGCCATAAACGTTTGTTGGTGCTTACGTTGGGAATCGAAGTACCCTAAGAGGAGTTGGAAAACCAGCCACAGCACTGCTCTCGATTCCGACTTGCCTTCCAAGCAACGAAAGTCCTCGATCGGGCTTGGCCTGAGTGCAAATTCTTCCATTTGCTTTCTTTGCCCTGGAAAATATGTGCAAATAGGTCGAGTCCAGCAGTGATAGGTTCCCTTAAAGAATAATAATATTCTCAAGCAAAAGAAATAAGTGCAGTTGCTTGCAATCCCAGGCCGGGTGCAAAGAGTCATACGCAAGACTCGCGCAAATGCAATCCTGATCTGCTCCCTATCTGACAGGTAAGGGCCGCGCAACTTGCAGTGCATAGCAGGCTTCAGAGAGGGAAATCGAAAGTCGACCTTAGGTCTCATGTTGCAGCGAGTTGCAGGACATCAATCTGGTATACCTTTAGTTTCCCGAAAACCAGAACAAACATGGAAACCGCCAGATGTTTCAAACGAACAATGGTTAGAAAAAGGGGGACTCAACCCATATATATAACACCTCTTCTTGACTTCCCAAGGTCCGCTGCTTTTGGGACCTCCACTCGCGGAGTCTATTGGAGTCGCGCTCAGAAGCTGGCCATGGTGATCTCCCCGTGGCTGGATCTTCCCTCATGGAGAAGATTCGCGTAGACCTGCGCGTCTTGCGCTGTCTTGCGGAGGGACCCCAGACCATGGGATGGGTTATTAAAGGGAATCCCAAAGGCATGTCTGGGTTGGAAACCCAAAAATAGGTGACCTTCTTTGGAAGCCTGACCAGGTTTGCAGGGAAACCCAAAGGCAACCCTGGGTTGTAGGTGACCTTCTGTGGGATGTGCAAGGCGACCCACCAGGAAACCGAGCGTCATTAGCTTGCACAAGGCAAAAATGTAAGGCCGACCTACCAACCTTGGATGATCGCTGGATGGCATTCCGCTACCTGGAAAGCCCAAACACCAACTGAACCATCATCAAAACCCGGTACACAGGGTCGACCCAGAACCATGCTTCAAGAACTAAGAAGGCGGATAGCCGCAGCTATTTGTGGTTGGGATCGCCCCTTACTAAGCTTCTCTTACCCGGGTTTTGATTGTGACACAGCTGGAGCCTGGACAAAGGAAACGATAGGAAACTGACCAGTTTGGGATGTTTGCTCAATCTCAGGTTCGGAGCAGTGAATGCAAGATTCTAGTGACAAGCTCTATGCTGTCAAGGGCACTTTCCGGGTAGGACCCTCCTGATGAGCTCGCTTTACCCCCCCCCCCCCCCGCTTTGGTGAGACTGCCATGGGCAAGATCCTTGTGGATTCTCGGATCCTTTCAATGCGCGCCAGGCTTTGGGGCCCCAAATTGCTTGTGCCCTGTCCTTTTGCCTTCCTACATCTCAAAGGGTGTGGACCCCACATTCAGACACATCTAAACCAGACCTTGGTGGGACCACATTCAGACTTGGCGCCAAGATATAAACTTGTGGGGATTGGTCTCAGTTCCTTGGAAAAAAGATTCCGCTGGTCGGTCCATTCCCTACTACTGCAGGAACCCTGCGCCACGTTTGCCTAAGGTGACTTTGAGGCAAACGCATTCGCAACCCTCGAGCTTCCAAAACTAGGAGGCAGAACCATTTCCGGGTCCCAACAAATTGTTGCACCATTTGCAAAAGTGAAATCAAGGGGAAACCAAAACGAAACCTATGTTCATTTCTTTCAAACACTGGTTGCCATCTCTGAGACTGCTCGTGTTACCTTTTGGTATTCAGCCACGGAAAACACCTACTTGAGTCATTCGAACACTGGTAGTGAGGGTCTGCCTTCCACCAATCATGCACAGAACCGGATGGGCTTCCTTGCTGACCCAATTTATGGCAAGGGGAGTGTCTCCTGACCTGAGTCTGTGACACATCTTGCGACCTTCTCCAAAATGGGGCCAACCCCGACATGACTAATTTTCGGTTGGTTCCTGTTCAACCGACCCCCCCAAAAAAGGTAATGTTGATCCCAGATTAATCAGGTGTTCCCACCAAACGGAAGTAAGTTAAAGTGGGAAAATAGTTCAAACGAAAGGCGGTTGTTTGAGCCAGCGGGGCGTTTTTTTTGATGATGCCCATTTTTGATGGTGGTTCAAAAGGAACAACCAGGAAAACCACTGATTTTCAGGGTCCAGGTTGCTGCTTAAACCTGTTTCCATGGACCCTCTAGGGGCTATGGGGGGGGCTATCCAGGAGAAGCCCAAGATAATCCAAGGATAAGCCCTGTAGGGCTTTTTTAAGAGCTGGCCCCCTCTGGGGTTAATTTCTCACTTCCCGAGTAGATTGGCCAGAAAAAGTCCGAACCTTTTGATTACCACTAACCTTCTAGGGGTTGATTCCCCATTCTTTTCAACCATCGCTCTTTTCCAAAACAGGCTGTTTCCCCTGGGTTTTTGATGGTTTCCTGAAAAGAAGGATCCTTGGAAAGAATGGGGAAGGTACCCCTAGAAAACTGGTCCAAACTCCAAAAGTCGGTCTAAAGTCCGAAACGCAACTCAGGAAGTGAAGTCGGGATAGCCTCCCTCAGCCCTTAAGGCCGGTCGGGGTGAAGGGATCCCCTCGCCCAGTTCGCAGTTCGCCCTCGCTTCGCTTCGCTCGATGGCTCCGAGGGCCTGGGGGAAGCGGCCGGTCCGCAAGGGCCACAGCATCGTGCCTCCGATTCGCGGAGGGCAACCAGCGGATGGAGAAAAAAAACCACTGGGGCGGCGTTGAACCCGGGGGGTGCAGTGTGCCCGCAAGGGCGGCTGGAACATCTAAGAACGATGGGCTTCCCCTGTTTGGGGCCCTGAAAGGTTGTTTGTTTTGTCATTGGGGTCCTTTTGGTGTCCCCAGGGCTAACTTTTAGTGGGTCAAATGGAAACCCAACCACTAACCGCTGAAGACCTAAACACATAAGAAACCGGACGGCCGGGAACCGCCGAGAGAACCATGCCTCCCTTTTGGAGCCCTCTTGGATAGACACTTCCCAAGTTGATTTTCGTTCCAGTCCGGGAGATCGAGCAAATGAGGCTTGGTTGAACCAGTTGGCTTCCCCAGCATTCGTTCCCCCTTTTATGTTTTCTGCTTTTTTTGGGGTTCCCTTTGCTTTCCACTAAAATGGCAACATAGATGATTCTTTTGCTGGGGTCCTAATTTCAGCCGAGTTGGTTGAACCAGTTGGCTCTCCGGACCCATTGAGTGGCTGATGCCTCGGATCTCGCCACGAGCTAGCTTCAAGGGGGTCGGCCCAAGCAAGCGCAGTCATCCCCAACTGAAGGAACAGTTGAGCAATCAACAAAGTCCAGGGCTGTTGATTCTTGGCTGGAATTAGGACCCCAGCCAAAAAATATATCTCTTTTTTGCCCGGTAGTGGAAAACAAAGGAACCCTAAAAAAGCAAAATAATAATAAGGGGAACTAATTCTGGGAGAGCATTCAGGGCCCGCCCCCCTCATCCCAGTCCACTTTCACAGTACGGGTCCTTCATCATAGGGCTCGCTCTCATTTGTGCAAAACCCCAAATCCGCTGAGTATGCTGCATGCCCCTTACTGCGTCACGCCACACTTCGCGAAGCTACAGTTGACTGAAAATCCCCATTTCCAGAATTGCTCCTATGAGCTTGGCACAATAGAAGCCTGGTCCCTGCTAGCGTGCAACCAAAGGAGTCTTGTTCACTCTTATGTTGACATATCCAAGCGAAAAACCCTGAGGGTCACACAATCCAAAGTATCATTCCAGTTCAAGCAGGAAAGTCTGGGATTCAAAACATTAAACACACAAAAAAAAAAAAACAAACCAACAATGGTGTTGGATTAATATAACCACCGTTACATGCCTAACGAATTTCATCATCCAAATTGGATCAACCATTATTTCAGGGTTGAGCCCTAGGAGACATGGCCAGCCACAAGGGTGTGTGTGCGTGTCAAAGACACATCATGACACATCCCCACTTTCGCACATTTTCCTCTTGGATTGCAGGTGCCGAGAAAAATGGCTCAGCGCTCTCCGGTCACAAAATCTGGCGGCATTCCAAAAGCAATGCGTGTGAAGCCAACAGCTCCCGTGGCAAAGGCGAACATGTTGGCCCTTGGGAATACTTCTCTAGCCATAGAATGCATCCATGTGTGGATTAGCATATTTTCCGTGGTGCAACAAGCAGTGAACGGGTTGGCCCGATTTGGGCACAGTGAAATCACTGCGCGTCGCCCCAAAAAAGAACACTTCTCAGTATGTACATGTTCCCTTTGCGCAAGGAGGAAAAGTGTTCAGGCGGGGGCATGTACCCCGTGTGTATCTACAGATATCTACAGAGATGTTCATGCACACAGCCTGTACGTGCGAATGTACTGGATGTTTTCCATGCTTAACCAAACGTGGCCGCGGCTTAAAAAAGTGGAACCAAAATGGCACCTTGGTAAATGGAACCAAAGACTGACTACAACCCCGCGTAACCCCAGCTCTTTAATCTTCAGCCATACCCATGTATTCATTGGGGGTGGGGGGGAAGGAGCCGAAAACTGCTGACTCTCTTGGGCCCGAGCCCAAGTTGTTCTCTGTCACCGGCCTCAATGGAGTCTTGCGACTGCGCACAAGGGTCGGCATGAACATTTCCCTCATGATGATTCAAAGGAAACCACACCCAAAGTCATTTAAGGCCATGGGCCAAAACCCCGTACCCCCAGTGAACATCCTAATCCCCACTAGACTAAAATGGGTGGTGCACCTATCCAAAAAGGGTACCATTGGTTTTGAACCATGGCCATTTGAGAAGCCCACATGTTCCCTTTTGGAGACCCAGTAGGCAAATCGAATGGTGAGAGTCGCAATCTCCCTGAGATGCTGGCACATCCAGGACGCAGGGAAGGGAGCGCCGAAAGTCGAAGAGCATGGCAGAGAAGCAACTGGAAGCGCACATATCTGAAGCTGAACGCATCAATCTGCATCCCAAACCCAGCATCAGAGCTTTTAGATTGGAACAGGACAACTCTTTTGCGGCCGCTAGGCAACCACGGGCCCAACAGGTGCCATGCTACCCTCTCCCAGACGATTCCATGGAAGCTCCCAGCACCTTTTGGAAGACTCGGTTCCATTTACAGAGGCCTTCTGGGAGCTTCCATGTTTGTCTGAGGGATTGTACATGCTACATGCAACAGCTTCAACTCGATCCACACGACATGCTCGCCTCGTCACAGGGTGCTCGCCCGTGCAAACCACGTTTGTCAGGGAGCAGGACTGCTCGAAGCAATCCAAGGCGTGAAGAAACTTGCCTGGGAATGGGGAAAGCGGTCCAACCGCAGAAACTACACAGCGGTTTGAAAATGGATGCCATCAAATCATCGAAACAGCTACTCTGAGACATGTCGAGCTGCTCCAGGGTAAAAGGGCACTACTGGGGGACCTAGATGTATATACAAAAAACCCGTCTTCGTCTGCAAACGAGGCTACGGACCAATCGAATGGTTGGCTTCCTTGTGCTCGCAGTCCACATTTGTGACCCACTCGCAGGCTGCGTTGCCGATTTGCCCGCCTCCGCACTCTGAACACCCACCAGCAATTGATCTGCGAGCATCAGGTCGCTCCAAGTGTATCAAGTCCATTCCTGGCAGCAGGCCCCCTGAGGGACCGAATGAATTGCTGAGAAAAACCCAGGTCTATTGAGCTAGAATCGGCTGCAATCTAATTCTTAGTGTTGGGGACTTTCAACTTTGAAAACACAGTTTCTGTGTGAATCTTCAATACCTGAAAAACCAGCCACCGTCAATAGTCACAAGACACAAGTATGTCATTCCCCTTGCGCCAACAAATGTCGGTACCCCCTACACCAGCAAATGTCTGTGGATGGACAAAATATCGCACACATACTGTGGATGGACGACATCCATTTCGCACCACCTAAGAAATCCTATGTTGATTCCCCTGTAAATACCAACAAACGTTATGGTTTCTCATTTCAAGGCGGTGCAAACGGATTTCGTCCATCCACAAATAGCTGGGACAACGGCAGTGTGCAATCGATCGCTGGGCACTGAGAAGTTCTTCACACCAAAGCGGTTGAGTCACGTCCCCATGCCCAGACTCGTGGGGCGCATAGGTGGCCTTTAGGTTTGGAAAAAATAGATGGGTGTCCCCGGCAAATGGGGCATAAACCAACCATCTGAACCAGAAAAAAACAACCTCTATTTTTAGGCTCGAACCAACCAAAAAGGACACATATGGTGGGGCACTCTTTCTGTTGGTAGTTGACTTTAAAGGGAAACCCCTCCGAGAACAGGTCACCACTGGAGATCACTGAAATCAACACCCGATGTGCCACAACCCTGGCCCTCGACCGTTAGTTCCAAAACCCAGATGTTCAACAACAAAAACAGGCGTCACTGGATTTCCCCTAGGTTGCAGTTTTCCTGGTGGGTTCCAACCAAATCGCCCACTGGAGGCCCCAAAAAATTGGACTCCTGAAGAGACCACTCCTCCGGCCTGCGGGATGTCGGTTCCGGATGGTTTTCAGCGCCACCACGGCGTCCTGCGCTTTTTACCAAAACCCCCGTGGACTTCCACGAAAACAATCAATAATATGGCACGTGAGGTGCGCAACACGTGGGAGTGTGGCAATACGAGTTGGATTGGGGATGAGCCGGGAACCAAAAGGAATGCTGCCATTTGGAGGGTCTCAGTTTTGACAGCCAATATCCGAGGTCCCTTTGAGCCCGAGGTGAATGAAAGCTAGGCTTGGATGCACTCGAGATGTGTAAACTGCTTCACGCGTTGGCCGACTTTGTGCAGTCTCAGTGTCCTCAACCGGAACTGGACAGGCCCTGAAAGCTATGTGACCTACTGCCAATATTTACACATTGAGTTTAACACTCGGATCCAGAGACGTCAGTCCGTCACTCCAGCCTCAAATTGTTGAAGCAACGACTCAATGCTAGCGCGGCCGGACACAGGTTGGACGATCATAGGGATCACATTGAAAACCCATGAGCGTTTTGCTTCACAGCACATCAATCATATCAGTGCACCCAACAAAAAAGCTCGAACCCAGGGCTTTGCCAGGTTGCTGAACATGATACTTCCACAGATTCGTTTGTGAACCCCTGGTTGACGGAAGGCAGGGAATGAACTAGTGCAAGTCATTTCGGCGACACTCCTCCCTGACAAGCCGGAGGTCGTTCACGGTGTCATTGCCTGGATTGTTCACCAGTCAAGTCGTACCGGGAATGCAATCTACTTCCGGCGCATGCTCTGGCTTCCCCCTACACCCAATACCCACTTTTTCAGGGTATGATGTCGGCCCTCTTCTAAAAAAGGAGATATTTACCATGGAAACCCAGGTTGTTCAAAAATACCCTAGAAAAAGTGGGTATCTGGAGTAGGGGGTTAGTCTTGGGTGATGTTCCGTGTTGTCTCCAAACTCAGTGCCCCACACGAAATGCTCTCTGCAAGGCAATACCCGCTCTGGTTGCCGTTGCCGTGGCCTCGGTCAAGCATTGTCAAGGTTTATTTCTGGTTTGAGGTAAGTGGATGGTGTTTAGGGTGGTTTAGGGTTGATAAAGGCTACTCACTTCCTGAGTGGGCTGGCCAAAACAAGTCTGAACTTTTTAACTCAGGAAGTGAGGCTATTAGAGTTGGTTTTGGGTGGATGCAAGATGGGTCTAGGCCGGGTTTCGGCAGGCTTAAGGGGTGGCTTGTGGATGCAAGCTTGGCTTTGCGTGGGATTAGGATAGGTTTAGGACAGGTTCGCGGTTGCTGTAAGTGGTTTAGCCTAGCATTGATCTAGGATGGGAACGGGGCCGTTCTTCAGATTGTATTCAGGCATGGTTGGGTTAAATTATGAAAGGGCAAACGGTCGCTTCATTGTGTAGGAAGAGTTGATGACGAGTTTTTAGGGTTGATTTGCAGTGACAACACACCTGCATAACCTAGGTCCTCCAGTAGAGAGATTAGAATAACGGTACCCTTTTTTCTGTAGTCTATTTTAGTAGGGGAACCCTCCCCCAAGAAAGGGGTTAGAAAGGGCACTACTGGGGGACCTGCATAACTGAAAGTGGAAAGTGGAGCGAGGCGGCTCTTAGGCATTTTGTTTGCTTGGTTGACGTTGGAAGGGGAGCAAACAATCGAATCGAATTTTAGCACTTCAGTGGGGAGTTCAACCACTAAACCACAATAAGCAAAAATGTAAAATGTTTCTCAACAACAACCATGGAACGGGGTTCAGGTTGCGCCTCACTAAAGCCAAGCAACTCTTTTGTGTCCTCATGGCCTTCGGCTTTCGCTGGTTTAGGGTGGGTTTAGGTCGAATGTGGGGCTGTTTCTAGGTTGATTTAGTGTTGGTTTAGTATTAATTTGGGGTGCGTTCATGGCTAGTTCGTGGTGGATTAGGGAGGGTTGGGTGAGATTGATGGTTGATTTACGGCTGGTTCAGGACTAGTTTAGGGCCAGTTGGCTGTTTAGGGTGTTTGGGGTTGTTTGATGGGCTCAGGGTGGGATTAGGGTGGGATATGGGTGGTTTGGTGGTTGGCTGGGTTGGGTGTCTGGGGGTTCAGGGTTCGTTTAGGGGTTGGTGCAAGGGGTATGGACCCCGATCGTTTGCAGCACCAACATTCATTTCACAACACATCGACCACACATAGAGGCCGTTTCGAGAAACGAGTGCATCAGCTCACTTCCCAAGTTGACCGGCCAAAAAAAGTTTGAACTTTTTTATTTACCACTAAACTGGTCTTTCCAAAAAGTTTAAAGTCCACCAACTCAGGAAGTGAGTCAGTCCATCAACAAATGCGCCCAGCAACCCATCCCCGCCGCAACTTCCCTGATCCAGTCCAAGCGGCAGCTCCCGGAACTGGCGACAGGGCAAGATCTTCGCGGGGAACGCGGCTTGCGGAATAATTTTTTGCCGGGGCGGTTCCGTATGTTTAGAAACAGCCCCTGGGACACTCCTGAAGCTCGATGTGCAAGGGCAATCCGATCTAATGCATCTATCGGTCTGTCTCCAACTATGTGTATAAATCTATGCATGTGTGCGTGGCTGTACGAAATATATGTTCTACCTGTCTATCTGTCTCTGTCTGTCTCTGTCTGTCTCTGTCTGTCTCTGTCTGTCTCTGTCTGTCTCTGTCTGTCTCTGTCTGTCTGTCTGGCTGTCTCCCTCTATCTCTCTGTCTGTCTGTAGGTAGGCAAGTAGGTAGGTGTGTGCGTACGTAGTGTGTCTGTTGTTGTGCAGGTATGTGTGAGTAGTTGTGTATGTGTGTTTATATGAATGTGTACTATATGTACGTGTCGTTGTATGTGTACACAAGTGTGTGTGTGTGTGTGTGTGTACACAAGTGTGTGTGTGTGTGTGAGAGAGGGGGCGTGTGCGTGATATGTTTGCGCGTGCATGAAAGATATATATATATATACACATATATATATATATATATGTGTATAAACTATGCATATGCCAACACATAGGTACAAGTGTTTGCTTGTATTGTGTACAGGGCAAGTATCTATGAATATGTGTCTGCATGTGAACAGACATATTATCTAAATGCACATGCATATGCGAATGCCCATGTACAGGTATATGCTGATGACATATTAATATATGCATAGGTATAAATCTGCCAACCAACTACATGAGCCCTTTCCAACAGGAAGTCTGCGCAATTCCACGTTAGTCGGTAGGGTAACATGTATGTACACACACACACACACGCAAACGCATGTATCCAAGTTCGCCTATGTTGTGGCGAGTGTATCAGGGCGCTGAGGCATGCCATCCATCTTCGCGCTTCCCCGCTTCGCCTGCGCCGGAAGAGGCGAACCTGACGCATCGGATGGATGGCTTCCAAGAAGTCTGGGTCTGCAAAGTGAATGGCTGGACGCCGTTAAGCTCAAACGAGAAGCAAACTAGAGGTTGTGTTGCAACCTGAAACAGGAGTCTTTCTGAAATGGGGAGCCATTTGTTGGCTGGCGTTACACTGCAACGGAGAAGGGCGCCCTATTGTAGTTTAGGACGCGATAGGGGGGGGGGGGGACTGGCACATTCAAGCATTTGAAGCCCTCAGTCAAAACCGTTGCCGTGTTGTCTGCTTATTGACCTCAATCAAGGCCACGCTATTTCGCTTCAAGCTTCCACCGAATGCAGATTCTTCAGGAGTTCAACCTGCATGAAATCCACTTTTTCCGTGACAAGACAGCTAAGGAGTTGGTAGCCAAGTTTCCTTCGAGCCTCACCCAAGTTGTCTCGGTTTGTCATTCCTCCAAAAGGGATCCTTGGACCTGCCTGCACTGTTGACTATCTCTATATATCTCTATAGTCAGCACCAGAAAGCAGTTGCTGAAACAAGCAGTTTGGGGCTTGGAATTTTAAGTTGCATCCGTGTGCCATCCTGAGAGCTCTTGAGGCAAAAGCCGGGGAGTTGTCTCTGCATTGCAGAATCGCCTCGTCAAGTAGCTTTCGTGATATGCTAGTTCTTCAATGCCAATGATCGCCAATACACCTGATTACATGTTATGCAGCCGTCAAGTGCGTGCGGTCTGGTGATACTGCTGTTCAGCAGACTCTGCGCCATCCAAGCCCTTCTGCACTCGCGCATGCTCATTCGTGCAGTTTCATCTCTAGCAGGGCTCAGGGTTTGGATCGTCCAAACCCAAGCCTGCAAAATGCCCACCCCCCCATACATTTCCCGACATAGGGCCGAAGAGCCCCTTGAATTATTGGGGACCCCCGTTTCTGGTGTTTAAGCCCATTGCCTGGTTCTTGCCGTTTTGGACGATGTTTTTTTCCAGAATGGGAGACTTGATAATTGGATGGGATCGCATGTATTGAGGGTAAACTTTCGGGCTGCTAAAAAAGGACCGAAAGGAAACCTAGGTCCTCCAGTAGTGAGAGGTTAGAATAAGGGTGCCCTTTTTTCTGTAGTCTATTTTAGTATTGGACCCCTCCAAAAAAAAGGTAAAAGGGCACTACTGGGGGACCTAGAAACCATCATCTTGGGCTTTCGGCTTTTGACACGCCCACATTCCGCCTGGCCTTCGAGTCGTCACCGCCGATGCAGATTCTGCCGGGTGCCATGTCACAGCAGTTGATGGTTGACTCGGACACCTGCGACTCGGCTGGCTTGGTCTCATGCGTCTCATGGAGGGCAATCCGTCGATGTGATGCTACTCTCAGTTTCCCTGCGAGCCAACCACAAATACCGAGATTACAAAGAAATAACCTCATGATACTGTTGTTGTTGTTGGCGGTCATTTGAGTATAGGTCAAAATGAAACCACCAGGAATCGGACCGCGGGTTTTAGTCTGTGTTTACATTTACCACGGCAAGCCATTTTGGGTACCGGTTTTTTGACCCACACCCATTTGGTGATGTCGATCGTTGGCTCACAGACTTGGCTCGTAGGGCCTGTGTGGATTGCTCGTGGATTAGAAAACAATGTGTTTACTTGGTTGCTGTTGACCCCTCTGCAAAAAGTTTAACTTTTTGGGGGGTTTAGTGCAAAACGCTTTTATTTCCCAAAAAGGTTAAAGTCCAAAGATCCAACCCATTAGCAGTCAAGTTTGCAGGCACGATAGAAGCAACATCATCAGGCCTTCCACATACTTGCTAACTTAAGAGTTTTGCGAAGAGACGGAAACCAATCTACAAAGCCTACAAATAGCGCTGTATCACGGCATCCCTAAGTTTAGGAGCGCTGTCGTCGTAGCTGGTTGAGGTTTGTAGCCTCCATTGCGCTAATCATGCGGCGTCAGGAAGCCAACTTCCAGGCGCATGTGGCTCACCGATTGCACGCTTCTTTCGCAAAAACCTCCGAATTTGACACGCTACTGTTTCATCTGGCCATGGGTCAAAACCCCGTACCCCCTGTGAACATCCCAATCCCCACTAAAATCGACTCAAATGGGTGGTGCACCTACCCGATTGGTGTTGACGCACGGCCATCTCGGTGAACCTCTTCCTTTCTGTTGCCACTCTGCAGGGATGCTTGACATCTGAGCAACAAAGAACCGTGTTGGGCGGCCAGTCCAAGAATATCCCTTTGAAGACGAGTCCATTCTTTCAATCGTACACAAACACACACACACACACAAACACAATTGCATACATGCATGTACGCAAGCACCCACCCACCCACACTCACACATGTAAACAGCGCTATGCTTTCAAAGAGGCCATCTCGACTCAAGCCTGTTTTGGATTAAATAAGCAGCCCCCCAAACCTCTTGAATGTTGTTCTACCCATGAACCAAGGTAGAAGAATAGTAGAGCCAGCCGGGGGTTTTCTCAGAATTGTGGACCCTTTCTTCTTTTTGGTTGGTTTTCACAGAGAAGCCAACCATATATTTCTGGCCCCTGATCTTTAAGAAACCCAAAAGGGCTTTGGGCGCTGAAATGGTAAGCGCAAGCCTTTCAGCAGGTCTCACTCACGCCTCGACGTGGTCCTTGTAACTCGCATCTGCGGGATCCAGCACCAGCATTCTTGCCTGACTTGCTTCCATTTGGTTAAGACCCCTGGACAAAAATGAAAACATATGTCCAGTATTGATAAAATCCTTTTAAAACCAAACAAAAGATAATTATAAAACATATTCTTAAGCAAATGGAAGCTTGAGTTTCACGCCTTAGTTGCAACCCGTGGGTTCTGCTTCCAACCTGTTTTCGTCACTGAAAAACCGGGTCACAACTCGAGCAAAGCTGGGCGCCTTGCGCCGAACGTGGTACTTCGTGCAAACCACATGCATGGCAAATGGGACAGAACCCCTTCTTGCCGACTTGCAAGAATGAGGTAGCTGTGTAAGTTCACTCATCTTGTTGTTGTGATCAATCAAGCAATGAATCTTGATGACGTGCCTTGTGAAAGCTTAACCCGCTGCTTGTGCTATCAAGAAGCGGCATCATCTTGTGCACGATGCCCCCACCCTGGATTTTACCTGCCACTTCTCGGCACAATGACAGAGTTGTCCACCCACTGGGTTACTCCAAGTACCCCACTTCTCAACATGATAAAGTTGTCCACCCACTGGGTTACTCCATGCCCTGAGAAGGTCGATCGCCTTTTGCAATGAGAAATCCACCTGCGTTTCCAAAAAGTCTCTGTGCCTTTGGGTCACAAAGACCGAGTCGCCATGTGAAAAGCTTGTTTAGACATCTCACCTTGCCCAGAGCCCGGCATCTGGTAAACACCCCGGCGCCTTCCGCATCCCGCGGCTTGTGCTAGGAGCTTCAGTCACCATCACCAGGTCCTGCGGGGCAGAGGGGCGTCAGCATGGCAGGGGGGATGGATCAAACACAGCACCTACCAACTGCCTGGCGTGGAATTTGTTCACATCAACATGGAAATGCCGAAGGAATGGTTGTGGGGAATCTAGGGTTCTACGTCTGGCGTCGCTGTGGAGAGTCAGCACCAATGCTGTCATCCTTGGTGCCATGTGCTTTCTTTAAGCTTGATTGAGCCCTCCTGAACCCGCTAGGTAAAACTTGCAAGTAACCAGCTGGATGCACTTATGCAATCTGGCCTGAACGAAAAGGATAAATATCCAAGCAACAGTGCATCTGGCGGCTGACATGCTTAAAATATGATATTGTTGGGGGGTCACGCTATTTTGACACCTATATACCACGTTATATATCCATATAGAGGCATGCACCCATATAGAGGCAAGCACCCGAATTCAGGGACAATACTGCTGTGCAAACAGAAGAACACACACACACACCACACACATGTGTCTTAAACTTTTAGTGGGTTAAGTGGAAACTACCACTAAACTAAAAAAAGAAAAAGCTTAGGGAATGCCTGTGAGCCACCAAGGCGTGTGTGTGTGTGATCAAAGACGTCAGCTTAGCATTTCGGAGTCAAAGGACACGACAGATCAGGTCCTCATGGGTCATGCGCATGTCCATGGTGAGGCCCGGCAAGTCGTGAGGCTTGACGTGGCGCACCTAGAAACCCGGACAACTTTTGTGGTGGTCGGTGACCCCCTTCAAACAGTGACTCGTTTGTCTCCCGCATCGCCATGTTGGTATAGATATCGGTGGTCGCTGACCCCCTTCAACCAGCGACTCGTTTGTCTCCCGCATCGCTATTGTTGGTGTAGATACCAGTCTAAGATGAGCATTGAGCCAGAGAGAAGCAAACCAGAGCCCCAAGCGCCGCTCCACCTGCATGGCAGGTTAGAGTAGTGGGGAAACAATTATTTGACAAACAGTCTTTAAGGGTTCAAGGTCGACCAAAGAGCAACACGGAGATTGCCGTGCTCTATCGTGCTCTTGAGCCAGGCTTCACACTTGACATGTCGTTGCCTGGTTGACCCTCGCTCAAGTTCGTTGTGGGAAAAAAGCCCTTGTGATACCAAATGGGTATTCCCATCCTTTGTCGATTCAAATCCCAATGCGACAGAGAAAAAATAAAGCCACGTCGCAGCCGCCTGGAAGCTGGGAAGGCACCGGCTGTGCCCGAATTCCCGCGGGAACCACCCGTTTTGGTCACGTAAACAGTCCTGCGGCATCGAAGCGGCGTGAAACACCTGGCGAACTCTCCAATGCAAACATCCGTTGTGGCCTGTTTTCTTGGGGGGGACCTGATTTCTTTTTTGGGGGAAACCAAAAGAAACAACACTAGGTCCTCCAGTAGAGAGGATAGAATAAGGGTACCTTTTTTTTCTCAATAGTCTATTTTAGTAGGGGGGTTCGCCTCCCAACCAAAAAAGGGAGAAGGGCACTGGGGGAGCTACAGCTATTGGGTCCTTTGACCCAGGCAAGGCCACCGAAAAAAGGATCCCGGTCCTTGGCATGGTCGAACAAGTGCAGGTTCGCAGACTTGCCTCCGGATGCGACTCAGGAAAAAACAAATATTGAGTGACTCTAACAAGAGTTCTAGCTGTACCCTCCCCATTCTCTTCATCCTTCACGTCAAAAAATAGGCCAAACCCCTGGAAATTAGGTGGTTTCTAAAGAGAACGATGCGTGAAGAGAATGCGGAATCAAAAGTGGCTCTACTTCCATTTGGTTAAGACCCATGGAAAAAATGAAAAAATATGTCCAGTCGTGATACATTCCTCTTAAAACCAACAAAAATAACATATTCTTAAGCAAATGGACATCTAACACAAGTGGCACAGTCGGCAAACTGTGAACACTGACCCTGGTGGTTACACTCAGATGCCCAGTGGCCATGGGAAAAAATGAATCGGCACCCATTTTGTTGCTTGAGTTTAAAGGAACCGGAACCCTTTCCCCACAAAAAGTTGATAAAAGGAAAACCCACTGGGCAACAGACTACACGAAAACTGCCAATGAGCTCGACACGTATTGCATGTCTCAAACTTAGGACCCATGCCCGCCAAGTCCATCAGGGCAATCAGTACTATGAATAAATACAACAAACATCAAGAAACACACACACACAAATAGCTAAATTGGAAAGCAACAAAAACACACACCAACCATCAAATACATAGACATGAAACACCAATGCATAAATCGCATCTATGTATATGTATATATGTATATTAGTCCATTATCCGATCTATAGAAATCACCCCACCAGACAGCTCTCTTTAGAATACCTTAAATTGGTTTCCTAGAGGTGATGTTTAATTCTGAAGCCATGGGGATTACTGTGGATGGACGAAATCTTCGCACCATTTTCAACACATTGAAAACCATAATTGTTGATGGTATTTACGTTGGGGATGTACTCAGAAACCCATCCTGCACCACTTGAACACCATTGTTTGTTGGCATTTACGTGGGGGATTTACGAAACCCAATGGTACAAAATCCTGCACCACGTTGAAACCATTGAAAACCAGCGTTTGTTGGTATTTACGGGAGAAGCATCAGAAACTAGGGTTTCACCGGTAAACACCCGAACCACCTACACAGTGGTACTTTTTGAGCAACCATTTGCTCTTCGGTGATACCATTGATGAACCATTGAAATGGATTTCGCAACCATCCACGGTATCCTGCACCACGTTGAAACCATTGAAAACCATTGTGTGTTCGTATTTACGGGGAAATCATCCGAAACAAGGGTTTCCGAACGGTGCGAAATGGATTTCGCAACCATCCACAGCATCATCCACTTTCCTGTACTTGGGGGTTTGGAGCGCGGTGGTTTGGTGGTTAAAGAGTGGTTCCCATTTATCCCTACAAGAACGAGAATTTGAAATCCCCAAACCACCAATCCAAACCACCAACTAAGGGTTACCTGATATCACAGTATCACCCCGAAATCAGCACTGTCACTTGGGCTTTTGCTCTTCGAGCTGAGCTCAGAACCCCAGCGACGTCGGCAGAAGAAGCGCCAAACCTCAGCGCCGGTTTTCCCACGAACCGTGGACCTAAAATTTGGGCGTGGGTCAAAATTTGTACCCCAAATGGCTTGCCCTGGGAAATGGAAACGTGGACTAATGTTTTCGGTCCGATTCCTAGTGGCTTTAATTTTCGCCCACACCCATTTGAACGGATGCCGCAGAGGCCTGTTGAAGAGACTTCAATGACATACGTCTCGGCAATTTGCCGTCGAATCGCTTGAAGCACAATAAGATTGGCAATACGTGCAAGTCAAGACATGGAAATCCAGGTTGAGGGAGCCTGATCATCTGATGAGATGTCTGACCGGATCCCCAACAAGCAATGCTGCTATTTACCCAAATGCTTTTTACCTCAAGGTTTCAATTTTACCTCAAGGTTTTACATCTGGCTACCTGTAATGGTACCTGGAAGCACTGGGTATCATAGGATGACATAGATCAATCCCTAGATGACCGCTCGCCTCCTGCTGCATCGCCATGGCGTGCACCCTGGCTTCGCTCAAGCGAGTTCCGGAACACGGGGGATTCGGGGGACGGTCTTCGTCAAGGTTCAACCCTAAACCTAGGAGTTCTTCGTGTTTTACCACTAAGACAGTCTTTCCAAAAGGTTAAAAAGTCCAGGAACTCAGGAAGTAGGTCCTCCAGATTCGAGAGGTTAGAATAAGGGCACCCGACCTTTTTTGGAACGTCGATTTTAGTAGGGGAACTCAAAAACCAGAAAAACAAAAGAGGCACTACTGGCAGACCTAGTAGGAGTTCTTCAGGTTCCTAGTTCATCAATTGTTTTGTAGTCCAGGGCAAGATGCAAAATGGGATTGAGCCGGCGTCCTCATAGTGGATTGCTTGTTATGTAACGTACCCTAGTCACACCAAAAGAGCCTCTTGTCACAGTCGTAACGACCCCTTGTCAAGAGTGACCCAGCTCGTACCCTTTAACACAAACTTGGGAAATAAAGCGCACTGGAAACTCCACGGTTCAGCGGGTTCAGTTTCTCACGCTGCGAACTACCTGCGAGTGGACAGTCCTTTCAAATAGTGGACAGTCAACGTGGGCTCGGTGCTTGTTCAAGCCACATCCAGCTCAATGCATCTACACACAAACAATTCGGATGCTTCATAATATGATACATCCAAAGAAAGGCTCTGCCATGCACATGTTGGTTTCCATGCCTGTCCATCTCCTTGATTCTGTGCCAGGCCCCAGGCGGGCTGTTACACTGTTCCGCGGGACGTGAGGCCGCGGGACGGCTCAAAGAATCGGAGTTGGAGGATTTGGCGTGAATCAGTGGGGAATGAAAATCCCAGGTCCTCCAGTAGAGAGGTTAGAATAAGGGTACCCTTTCTATAGTCTATTTGGCACCAACTAATTTTCTGTAGTCTATTTTAGTAGGGGAACCCTCCCAACCAAAAAAGGGTAAAAGGGCACTACTGGGGGACCTAGTATCAAAGCATGAATCAAGAGATTCTCATCATCTAAATGAACTGATTCTCATGTAAACCCAAATCAAGCGAATAAACATTGAAGCAAAGGGCGTGATGTTCCCCGGTTCCTTTTGGCTTCTCAATACCTAATCTTTACCCCATATCAACTAACCCCAATTTCTTAATAGGGAAGTGGGGCCCGTCCAAAATTAAGCCAAACAGATAAGTGTACCTCTTGCTTTGTGCCTCAAAAAAAAAAGCCGCCCTGCAGAGATGCCTTGGGGGTCAACACCTAATGTTGACCCCAGACTAATAAGTCCTCGGTTTTAGTGAGGATTCATCACTTTTGGAGAGGAACACCCCCATATTGATTCAGAGGGGTTTCTTAATCCAGGGTCAACACCTACCCTCCTGTCCACTAACATAGAACCCACCCGAAGGTCCCTAAAGGAAAATGGTCTTCCAGGACCTCTCAGGCAGGTTCCATGGTAGTGGACAGGAGGGTACCTGCAAAAAACACGACGCCGTCTTCTTACGCCAAGCGAAAAAACCGCCGCGTCGACCGTCGCGGAGTCTCGGTCGCGGAGTCGAGCGAGCCTCCGGCTCACGGGCAGTAGTGCCAGGACCTCCTCGGAGCGCAAGAACTGGCACACGAAGGGCGCCATATCCTGGCCGCCGGCGTTGGTGTAATGTTGACCCCGGAGGAGTTCAAACCCGTGTTTATTTTAATATGGGGGTGGGGGCCCCTCCAAAAGTGGTCCGAATCCCCACTAAAACCAGGGACACCCCAATATTGATAAACAGGGGTTTATTAGTCCAGGGTCAACATTAAAGCCCGGCCGCTCGGGAAGAAAGCCTCTCCCTTTCTCCTGGGGAAATCCGATGTGTGTGTGTTTTTCTCCCGGTTTTGGTTGGGATCCCAAGGTCGCTCGTCAAAGGGAAAAAAAACACTGCTTTCTTTTTGTGTTGGAGGATTTCTTGGCTGTCAAAGGTAAGCGTTCAGGAAGCCAACCATGGGGATACTTCGGGCGCCAACAAGGCCGCCTACGAGTAATTTGAGATAAGGCGAGGGCGTCACTCCTGTTTGGGGCTTCGGCTTAAACCAGAGGAAGAGCAAAGCCTTCGTGGGTTCCATATGGGTGTTGATCAAAAGGTCCGGTAAACATGGGATGACGAAAACCGCTAGAAAGATGATATTTTGCTTCCCACTAAATGTGAAAAGTTACCCATGGTCATTTGGGGGCCAGGATAAATTGATCAACCCCCATATTCTTGGAGACGAACGCAAATTGAAGCGGGATTTGACCTTCGGGACCCCACTCACTCGCGGAAAAGCAAAAGCCGGGCAGACTGACAAACTGACCCATACTCAAGCAGTCAAAATGAGGGAGCCCAGTGCTCTGTGACATGTTACCTAAGAAAAGGATGTGTGAGAGCATGCCTCCTCATAGATTAGAGATGCAGGATGTGTCAAAGTTGGGCCCCGGGATCCCCAACGGGAACCATTCACAGTTAGCCAAAAAAATGCATCCGTTTGATTGTCCGCCCCCTGGAAAAAAAACACAAACATTTCCAGCAGTGATAGGCTTCCTATAAAATTAACGAGGGACATCTGATCAACAACTGAGAATATCATCCCAGCGGCAATGACGCACAGAAAGCACAAAAGGGCAAACCATGGTTTTCGAAGGTCATGTTTCCGGTTACATCACGTTCGAGTTAGGCCTTGCTACTGGGAAGCAAGCTAAAAACATGTATAAGGATAAACCACACACTACAAATTTTGATAACTTGCATCTTGTACAAAAATCCACACACATGGTGGTTTATTCTAAATTCCTTTGTCTCGAAACGGGCATTCTTTTGCGGAGCTACCGCAATGACTCAACCAACATCGATGGTCAGCGAAGACAAAACTCCTTACAAGGACCTTTAGAACGACTCAGACACACAGACACACAGACACCCAGACACCCAGACACCCAGACACACAGACACACAAACACACACACACAAACACCCAGACGCATACACACACACACACTACATATAATTGATAATTTGCATCTTGTACATAAAAACAAAAACCCAAAAAAACATGGTGGCGTATTATAAATTCCTTTGTCTCGAAACGGCCATTCTTTCGCGGAGCTACGGCAATGACTCAACCAACATCGATGGTCACCGAAAACGAAGCGCCTTGCAAGGACCTTTACAACGACTCAGACACACAGACACACAGACACCCAAACACCCAGATACACAGACACACAAACACCCAGACACACAGACACACAAACACCCAGACACAAACACACACACACCCAGACACACCCAGACACACACACACAGACACACACACACACACAAACAGACACACACACACACACACACACACACACACAACACACACAACACACACAACACACACAACACACACACAACACACACAACACACACAACACACACAACACACACAACACACACACAACACACACAACACACACAACACACACAACACACACAACACACACAACACACACAACACACACAACACACACACACACACACACACACACACACACACACACACACACACACACACACACACAACACACAACACACACAACACACACAACACACACAACACACACAACACACACAACACACACAACACACACAACACACACAACACACACAACACACACAACACACACAACACACACAACACACACAACAAACACAACACACACAACACACACAACACACACAACACACACACAACACACACAACACACACAACACACACAACACACACAACACACACACAACACACACAACACACACACAGAACACACACACAACACACACAACACACACACAACACAGACAACACAGACAACACACACAACACACACACACAACAAAAACAGACAACAAAAACAGACAACACACACAACACACACAACACACACACAACACACACAACACCCACAACACGCACAACACGCACAACACACAAGACGCACAACACGCACAACACACACAACACGCACAACAAACACAACACTCACAACACACACAACACACACAACACACACACACACAACACACACAACACACACACAACACACACAACACACACACAACACACACACAACACACACACACACCACACACACACACGCACGCACGCACGCACGCACGCACGCACGCACGCACGCACGCACGCACCCACACGCACGCACGCACCCACCCACACACACACACACAACATATGCTTGATAATTTGCATCTTGTACAAACAACACACACCGAACATGATCTGTTGTGTAGACATGTTTCTGAAACACCAAATACTAAACTCAAGAGAAGTAATTCTGACACTTCATGTCTGTCTCACCAGATCTCACACGGCCTGCGGGAAATCCAGGAGCCGCACGCCGGACTCCTTCACCGGCGCCTCGGGAGAAATGCTCGGAGCGCCAATGGCTGGTGGGTCTTTCGATTCGGCGCCGCCTTCGTTTTCAGGAGCCCACGTTGGGGTTGCCGGTGGCTTTTTTGCTTGTTTGTAGTGGGCCAAGAGTCCGCTAGGATTCCTCAGAGGTAAGTTCGTGGAGCCAGCTGGTTGGGATGGTTGGCCAAATTCGATTGGTTTGGATTTGAAGCCTTTCTTGGGAAACCGGCGGCGCGCCTCCAAACCATCCGCTACTTCTCTCAGACAAAACTCAACTTCCAGCTCTGACTCCACCGGAAACATCTGCTCATTGGCTCAAAGGTTTGGAACTGTGAAGAAGGGTGCCTCAAAGATGCTCAGAACCTTTCCAAAAACCCAAATGCAAGAGGGGTCCCTCATTCGGAAAGCAAAAAACATGCAAATCCTGCAAATGTTCGTCTATAAGAATCCGCCAAAAGCAGGGGCTCTGATTTTGGCACATTCCCAAGAAATCTAGAAGCTGTAGAACCTGGGCTGTGAAGGTGTTCATGAGCAGCACAGCTAAACGCATGAAGACCAAACATTTGAAGCACAGTGCCAAACTGAAAACATACAACGGGAGCAATCAATGAAGTGACATGCTGTGGATGAACAACTCCCAGGCTTCATCCATCCTAACTGGTGTAGGATTCTGCCTATCCACGGAAGCAAGAAGAGTAACCCTGGGCCCATGAGCGACCCCAAGTCTCTTGGCAACCCGAGCAAGTACGTGCTTCCATCCGAATGGGAGCTTCTTCGGTTCTCTTTGGGGCTGGTTAGGGAAACCAAAACGAAATCTGGGCCCCAGATCAAAGTTCGCAGCCAGGAGACTTTATCATGGGGCCATGTGAGCTCACAACTCAAATCTTGAGGTCGCCACATTTGAGTTGGTCTCTAGATGAGCTGCTTCCCCCCCCCCCCCCCCGACTGAGATGTTTGGTTTTTGTTCCCCAGGGCTGGTGTTTTCCTAAGGCAGGCTCCCTTGGACCCAGGGCCTCGGGGTGCCTGTTGGCTCTGATTCGGTGGCTGGGAGTTGCTCAGGGCTCGGGTGGGTCTTGGATTGGTTTGGTATTGGGCTGGGTTGGGCTTGGCTTTGGGCTGGCCCCAAACCACCAAAGCTAGCCACACAATGTCGCAACTCGAGCAACCACACCCTAAATCAAGCCTAAAGCCAACGCTGAACCAGCAGCACACGTAACACAAATCAGCTCCAAGCAAATCCCACACCCGCCAAAGTCAGCCTTGACCCCACCCAACAGCATCCTGAATGTCAGCCCTTTGCTGAGCCGAAACGAACCCCAAGCCAACCCAAGACCCACCCGCAGTAAGAATCTAAGCCAGCGTAGAAAGCAGCCCATAGGGAAACTCCAAACTGCCGCCGAATCAGAGCCAACAGGCAACCCGCGGCCCTAGGTCCATGTGAGGCTGTGCGGGGCCAGCCAGGGAACCAGACCTATATATATATATATATTTAAAAACTATACATCATCCTACCCCCCCCCAAAAAAACAAACAAACAAAACAAAACCAGATAGAACCATCCCAGCGGAGTTCAAAGTCTTTCCTGACAAGTTTCTCCTGACAAGCTGTTCCGACTCCGGCCAGTCTTCCCGATTTGTTTGCGGCCAGTTCTTCCGAGTTTCCCGCCCAGCGTTTCCGAGTTGATCGGGAAAAACATGGGGGGCGCGCTTTCCCTTGCAATTCGCTTTTGGCATCCCAAGGGTGACCTCAAAGCAAGCTCACGGACTTGAGGCGCCGGTGCGAGATCTTCAAGGCTCAAGTGTCGTCTTCAGTGGCCCAAGGACTCAAGCCAACGTGGCACGCCATGACACATCGGGGTTCCGTTGGTCCCATGTCAAAGTAAGAAAGCCCCAAAGAGTCAAATGGGGATACAACTCAAACTAGGGACCCTTCAAATGATGCTCATGTTCCTTTTTTTCGCTTTTAACCAACATGCAACGGTACCAACATGAGTGCTGCCAAAAAATGTGGACCGCCTTTTGGTTGGTATTCGATCAGAAACCAACAAGCGAAGCCACACCACGCGCCCGTTTGGCGCGCACCTCTGTGCGCCGAAGCTTGTGAGTGTGCAGCACCGCCGCCATCTCGGCCTCGCAGTGGCGAGGCCGAACGCATGGCTGTCTGTCTGAGGGTGCCAACTCTGGGGTAAAACAAACACCAGAAGAAAACACTCATGTGTATGTGTATATATATATATATACATATAATATATTATACATATGTATGGGGGCAGGAGTTGTTCAAGAAAAGACATCCCCCCTATTGTGGCTCTCTTTACGTCTCAAAATGGGATCTTCTTTTGGGCAGCTGAGGAAAATCAATGAAACCCAACCTCAAGGTGTCCCGCAGTTTGAGAAGCACCAAAATACAAAACCCCGTATTTTCATGGCGGCTTAGGGTCCCTCAGAGCATCTCAGAGCCCTATTTTTCGGGAAACCTCATTTGGCTGTGACTTGAGTCCAAATAACAAACCCACGACTCGCACTCCTCTTGTCCAGCAAATGATCATTGTTCCCCCAATAGGATTCCGCTTGATTGACAAACATTCCCAGTGCTGATCATCCACATTAGACGCTCTCCGTAATGGTTCACCTCGAATTCCGCAGATTTCACCCGTTCGCAGCGCGTTGGCAGTTTTTCAGGAAGCGGGGAACCCTTCAAGAACCCAGGGACCTGTTTCCTTTGAGGCGGCCTCAAAGCTTTGCAGTGTGCGTTTCTAAGGGGAACCCCCAAGAGTCACTTTGAGAAGCCCTCAAAAGGTTCAGTCTGGGCCCAAACTAAGAGTCGAGCCTGCTTGACTTGTACAGCCTGTTCAGCCTACGCAGCAAAACCTCGTGCTAAAGCGATCAAGTAAACCATGTTGAGCAATGCATCAGACGTTGACCATCAGGCACACGCTGCTGCATGACGAACAACCACATACTTTCAGTGGGCTCCCTAGCGTAAGCAGGAATTTGGTTGGGCCCCTCATGTCCTTCCAAGACCAAACATGAGAAACAGCTCGGCAGTTGCTCACGCTACCCATCCCAAAACAAAGCCAGGCTTACAAATCCCAGGATTTTGAAACCCCCGATATGTTGCAGGAGCGTCCCAGAGCCCTAAGAAAGGCTCGCAGTAGGACTGAAAATCCCATCAGTTTGTGCCCCGCAGCTCCCTCAGTTCGCCGCAACGACTAAAACTCCGCAAGTGTATAACGTGCGGGTCCAATGGAGACGTTCCGTTCCAACCCAAAACTTGAAGTCCAAAGGTCCAATAGCCAGGCTCCACTGCCCGGGGATTTCGGATTTCCAGCCTCGGGCACCAGTGCTGCAGCTGTCTTTGGCATAGCACTGCGAGAGTTTGGCTGTGGGTCGGTCGGTCGCTTCGCAGAACTGCAGTGACGCCGAAAATGGCAGGTGACGGCTGGTGAAAAGTGCTTGGTCGGTTGGGGGTTGGTGGTCTAGGTGGTGGCTGGTGGGGTGATGGTGTATCACATGGGCAAATGGGATATGGTGTCTTTGTCTGTTTGTCTGTTTGTCTGTTTGTCTGTTTGTCTGTCTGTCTGTCTGTCTGTCTGTCTGTCCGTCCGTCTGTCTGTTTGTCTGTCTGTCTGTTTGTTTGTGTGTTCTTTGTTTGCTTTCTTGTGTGACTGTGTGCGTGTTTCTATGAATGTACAGTAACTATATAACATAACCATCATGGCCACACTGGCTAGTGCGAGCGCACCGGAAAAGCTGTCTGGGTGTGCTTTTCGGTTGCACGGTGGGAGGCTGCGGAGGTCAAATGGCGTTGTTCCAGTCAGCCAGCAACTGAAAAACATGGAAAACTCGGGACCCAACAAAGTGCTTTGGATCCCACCATGGACCCTTAAGGTAAACAAAGGGTATCTCAAAAAGCATACATAACCCGTACATTCGTGACACGCAGCTGCCAGCTTGAGCCGACGAGAGCGACGTGCCTGCTCCCTGACCATGGCTACGCAAGTTAGTATTCACAAACTGGAAAGGCATCCCGAGGGAGCTTGAACATAGGTGACCTCATTTTATCCCGGTGAGGTAGTTGGAGCTTGTGCAAAGCATGTCGCTAACAAGTGATTCTGCCCACAGCGCCAGCTTGAAATTGGGAGCGAAGCCAACAGAATTCCCATGTGGTACTGCGTGCATCACTTATTATTTACTCGTTTTGATGATTTCGAGACGCTTGATTCTTATAAAACCTGACTGTTGTTCAAGATTTAAAAAGAAAGACATGAATTTTAGTCACGACCGATGCCGTGTCAGGGTAACTGGCTCGATTGAACTAGCCGCAGAACCCTTGACCTCGTACTGGTATCACGCACGTTAATTGCCCTCCTGCTCTGAAGGATTCCAAATCTGAGAATACTGCGGATGGACAGACAATTCCCTTCGCACCAGTTGGAAGGAACACACCAATTCTGGGAGCCGACGGGTTCATAAACCCAACAACTGCGTAGACATGAACTTAGGACCAGCTGCTTCTTGTACATGACAACAGAAGTACTCCAAGTCGCTTTCAGAGCTGTGTAGAATATTAGCTCGAGTACCAACTACTATCTACATTGCTTCGCGTTCTTGTTGCAGGTCAAGCAAAATCAATCAGAATCATTATAATTATGACACGTCAGGGACAACTGATCCGTGCCCCTGTGGATGGAGTTCAAGAGATAAAACCATTCCGTGGAGGGAGAGGGGGTGAGTGAGGGTGAAATGAAGTGTGCTTATTGTGGGACCAACATGAAAGTAAAGTTTATCAAACAGAAGGCCGTGTGAGCTTTGCATCTTGACCATCAGCCATCTAGCCAATAAGCATCATGGGCTGATGTAGGCTGCCAGAAACATTTGCTCCACCGCACGCGAAGGTGCCCACACTTGTGCTGCCGTCTTGCGATTTGGCAAGACGTCAGCACCGACTACAAAGGAACGTATATGGACTGGTCTTCTTTTTTCGGGGACAACCTCCGACCTTTTTTTTGTGCTTTAGGGAATTCAAGAGAAAGCCAAGCATCTGGGTGCCCGAAAAAGAGACGCGCCCATGTCAGCCCACGGCTTCATTTCAAATGAAGCCGTCCAGGTCCCCAGCTCCCATTAGTCTGCACTTGGATGTGTCCCGTGCACATCATTCACCTGGGGATTGGTGTCCAACCATTTTGCAGAAGGCTCCATGAAAAAATCACAGCCAGGTGTACTCAAACCAGCGTCAACCAGGGGTTCCCCATTTGAGACGGCACAGCCAATGCACAGAAATGGGCAAAGGTGGGTGCCGTGCCGGGAAAAACCCGCGGCCCGGGCGCGCGCCTCAGTCGTGAGCTTCAAACTGCTTGCCCGACAGGTCGCTGACCTGCCGCTTCACCTGGTTCAGCAGTAGGTCTGCCAATGGGCCTTGAAGTTTAGGCACGGTTCCTCAGCCCAAGGATTACTTCTTCTTTTTTCTCCGTGGGACAAAAACGAGTTCAAAGGGGCACCTTTTCCAACACAAACATGAACAGGGTCGGAATCCACTTGCAGCTCACTTCCATTTGCTTGATCCTGGGAAAAAATGCAAGGGAACCTAATAATAACAACCAACTCTTAAGCAAACAAAACAAATGAAGCTCAGGTTCGAATCATGGTGGTCGCCACGCTCTCGTCGTCCATTGCTCGCTGCCTCTCCCAGGCCGCCTCCTTCTGCAGATGCCGGGCCGCCGCTCGCATCAGGAGACACATCGCTTCGCCCTCCTCCACGCCCAGCTGCAACAGCCTTGGAACTGGGAACTAGCACAGCATGTGGTTTTTTGCCTGGTGCGTGGAAAACCAAAGGGGACCCACAAATGCAAAAACAAAAATAAGCTCTGGTGATATCCCCAACAGCAATTAGTGCTGCAACAGCCTTGGAATTAGGAATTCGGATCCCAGCACAATCCTATACCTGGAGTCTCAATCACCCTTCTTTAAAAATTGGGTCCATGACCCCATCTTTTGGGGTAATGATCCCTTTTTTTAAGGGTCATGGAGACTCCAGGTAGTTTTGCCCGGCTAGTGGAAAAAACATGGAAAAATAGGGGAATTAGTCGAATTAGTGGAAAAATATGGGAATTCGTCGAATTAGTGGACAAAATTAGGAATTAGTGGAAAACAAAGTCAAGTAGTCAATTAGTGGAATAAAAACCTATAGGGTACATGTCAAAATACAACCACCAGGAATCGGACCGCAGGTTAAATCGTCTTTGGCGCCATTTACCAGGGCAAGCCATTTTGGGTGCGCATTTTTGACCCATAGCCATATTGTTTGCCTGGTTCGTGGAAAGCAAAGGGGACCCCAAAAAAGCAAAACAAAAAAAGGGAACTAATTCTGGGAAAGAGCAAGGTGTCGGGCCCGCGCCCGGAATGGGGACCCACACGCAGACGCACGGAAGCGTTCAAAGAGTATCGCCCCAAGCCTGGTGGGGAATCCACCTTGGCATCGATCACGCAAATGAGGGGAACGGACCATTCGCCTTGCCCCGTTATTGGTACCAGCGTCATTTGAGTAAGCTTCTCATCAAACCGCACCTCGCACTGGCCAGAGCCGTTGAAGGAGGAAACGTCCAGTTGCCGACCATGGGCGAAGGATTTCACCAGTCGAGCAAGCGCCTCTTTCCTTGGCTGGAATTAGGACCCCAGCAAACAAAACAAAATGCCCGGTTCGTGGAAAACAAAGGGAACTCCCAAAAAGCAAAAAAATAAAAATAAAAAGGGGACTAATTCTGGGGAAGTTTCTTGCAAGCGCTCGAGTCACTTGGGAAGGACGACACCAGCCTCTCGCCCTGTTCGCCCGGTCTCTCCGACAAAGCCTGAGCTTTCCACTTGTCAAGCTCCCCGTCCGCTGACTTGCAGCAGCCTCGGAGCTGAACTTCTTCATCATCTACACCGCCCACCCCGCAATTGCCCATGGCATCGACGGAAAACTCACACGCCACTCCACCTTTGAATCCGGTTCTGGCCACATGTCCTGTTGGGAAAAGAAACAAATTGCCGAATAGAGCTGTGTAAGCTCGTGTGAGCTCGAGCTCCTTCAGAATGTGCGATGGAGATAGAAGTGAAGGAGTGCCCTTCAGAAACCATTGAAAGACATGGTGCTGAAATCTGGATACACTCATGTGCGCCATGTTGAATCCACCCACACATTGAAAAGCTGGAAATTCGTCGCCCAACTGACTTCATGCTGCCCCTGGATTGAAGCTTGAGCGCCTGGGACATTGGCTAGAACGTTGCGATTCTGCTCATGTCAGGCCCGGTGACCAAAACCCTCTGATTGACCTTTTTGAGATGAACCCAACAAAAGGAGAAAACGAGGTGCGACTGCACTGGGCTGCTCATGTCAGGCACTTGCACCGCCACAAATAAATGCTCCATGCCCTCGGAATTATTGGAAGACCAACGTGCGGCACGAGGGCACATGGGTTCCCAAACAACATGTGAGCGATGAATTGTCCTTTCGCGGAAGCCATTTAAGAAAGCTGCTCATGAATATCACGCAACACGACACTACGACCACCAGACTGGCCAGAAGCATCACAGACCTACAAGAAGCAACCGACTGACCGGTATGTCCAAACACACAGCCTTACTGTGGCAATCCGCAAGCACTCCAAGGCGCTCATGGAGACAAATTCAATCATGTTGGCGTGGCTCAAAAAATCGGGTCCGAGATGGAACCCTGGCAAATGGAAAGGCTAAAACCTGCCTGACCCCAGCTGTTTAACAGGGATCCTTACATTATACACCTGAACATTGCCAGGCAAATGGAGGTGTCCCTTTATTTTGATGGAACAAGCCATGTTTCAAATGGGCAAAATGGAGATCTTTTAAGGAGCCCTGTTTAATTTTGAGCCACACCCAATGGCGGCTTTCAGGGCAGTTGGCAACAAGAAGACCATGCGTGCTTGACAAAGCAGAACTAAGCTTGGCTGGAATTAGGACCCCAGCAATATGTTATTGTTTTTTTTGAACAAGTGAACCAACAACGGAAACAAAGAACACACACAAACAGCTCATCAAAGAATCAAGCAATCAATCAATCAATCAATCAATCAATCAATCAATCAATCAATCAATCAATCAATCAAGCAAGCAAGCAAGCAAGGAAGCAAGCAAGCAAGCAAGCAAACAAGCCAGCCAGCCAGCCAGAGCCAGCCAGCCAGCCAGCAAGCAGACAAAGACACACAATAACAAACACAAAAATCAACCCGCAAACACACAGTCACGTAGACAAACCCAAGAAAGAAACAACCACCCACACACAAACAAAAACATTGAACAAAACGCGAGAAAACCAACGAAACAAAGACCGAGCTGACGAACAAACAAGCAACAACCACGACCGAACGAACAAAGCATCAAACAAAGGAACATCATGGAACATGCACACGAGCCACGACATCAGCAACAACAAAAACCGAAGCAAAAACGAGAGAAATAATAAAAGCAAACAAAAGAGCAGCAGCAGCAGCAGCAGCAGCAGCAGCAGCAGCAGCAGCAGCAGCAGCAGCAGCAGCAGCAGCAGGAGCAGGAGGCAGGACAACAACACAACACTACAGCACCAGTAACATCAGCAGACTCAGCAGGAGAACTGCGCCAATAGCATCAACCATAAAGACCACACTGCAAACTAACAAACAAAATACAAAACAACAGCAATAACAAGCAAGCAAGCAAACTAGCAACCACACAATCCAACAAAGCGGCAACAAACAAATCCAACAAGCCAGCCAACCAACAACCAACAACCAATCAACCAACCAAACAGCCAGCCAACCAAGCGCAACCCCAACCACAACAACAAGAATCAGAAGAGCAACGTGAACAACAACAAGAGCAAGAACAAGAACAATAGCACCAATATCAACAAAGGAAACTTCAACGGCAAAAAACAGCACTCTGCCAAACTCAATCGCCACTTTGATCTCAAACCCACTGACCCATTGCATGTTTGATAGCAATGGAAGCCAGGGACACAGAGGTGACACGATGTACGTCCAGCATGCCAGCTAAATGAGCACGATCGACGTCACAGCTACAAGTGTGAGGGCCCCAAAGATCACCGCAGCTCGTCGGGTCACCTGAGAAAACAACAGAGAAACACAGCGGAGACTGCAGCTTGGTCGCCCGCTTTCTCGTGGAGTGGCAATGTAGCAAGACAAATTTGGTCATAGATCTCACACATTCAGACATAGACATAGACGTACATACATGGATTTCACTCACACATGACTCACCCCAATCGTTGCCCCTGCAAAGCTAAAGCCCTTGATTTTTGGTCAGCTGCAGTGTGCACAAACCTATTTTGATCTGGAGATTCTGCCCGTGGGCTTCCACGACTCGTGCCAAAACCGCATTTATTCTCTTGTGCTGCCCAAGCGAAATGCATCCCTGTTCATATCCAGAGACGGCATTGTCCAAATTTGGATGTTGTTTCCCCCTTGTAGCATGGACTAGGTTAAAGGGTAGGCAAAAAGTCCCGTGCAAAAGAACACAGTTGTCCGCATTGGCATGGGGGCTCGCTCTCAAAAAACACAAGACACATGAGACAATAGGGTTCCCTATAGTTCCCTTTTCGTCGGTCGAGGGGGTGATGTTAACGGAGAAATACGCGGAGCCCTGTAAAACCTCCATTTGCTTAAGTCCCCTGGAAAATATTCAAAAACTATTTCCAGTAGTGATAGATTCCCTTTAAAACCAACAGTGGAAAATAACACATTCTTAACCAAATGGAAGAAAAGTGACGCGCGCCCTGAAGCACGGTGACCATGAGGACTCGAGCGCAAACCGCCGACGAAGAAAATTCTGCTGGACACTTCCCCATTCTGAACCCAGGGATCCTTCTTTTCAGAAAACCCGCAGAATCCAAGTGGAAACAACTGGTTTTTGAAAAGAACGATGGTTGAAACAAATGGGGAATCAACCCCTAGAAAAAAGAGGAAGCAAAAAACACTTGTGAACATGTGGGGGTTGATCAAAAGGTCCGTGATGCATGGGATGAGCATGGGGGGGAAACCACACAAATGATGATAGTTCAACCATTGAGTGGGACAAGTTACCCATTTTGGTACCATGTACATAAACCACCATGTACATAAAGCGTTGAGCTCGCTGACAAAACGTGTCACGTAGGTTCCACATAAGTTGTCCCATGTTCAAATGGACCAGTGTCGAACCAACCGTTAGCGACTGGCTTTCGTTTGGGGTTCGAAACCACCCGCCCAAACCCCCAAACCTTGAGACCTTGGTAGTTCCACGCCAGGTGGGCGTGGTGTAAAACATTCCTTAAATTGTTCCCCTCCGCCCAGTTGATGTTAAAACAACTCATGTAGCTCAAACAAAATGAGTCAGCCTGTCTTTCTGAGTTCGGAGAGGATCCCTAAATTCCGATTGTCCACAAGTGGGACACCAATGCAACGCAATCCATCTGGTCGCAGGGTTGACCAACTGACCATCCCGGCCAAAACACTTTGCATCAAACAAGAACACCTTATGCTTCTCGAAGAATGGTTGGATCTTTCGCTTGATGCCAGTGTCCAGCTTTCAACACACTCTTTCCGTGCCACCTTCTACCTCTGGTTGCGGGGGAAAAACGACTCAATCCGCAAAACAATCCGCTTGGGGGGACTTTGCCCTGAGCCCTTCCGCCGGTAGGTCGCGAGAACAAACACCATGTCCTCCAGTAGAGAGGTTAGAATAAGGGCACCCGATGTTTTTTCAGTAATCTATTTTAGAATAGGGTTCGGAACCCTCCCTTCCCCAAAAAAGTTGGTGAGAAAGGGCACCTAGCTGGGGGACCCGATTTCTTTTCTGTAGTTTATTTTAGTAGGGGAACCCTCCCGACCAAAAAGGGGACTACTGGGGGCCCCAGAAACTCCGCGAATTGTTCAGGGCTCGGGGCTCCGCGCGGGGGGGCGCCCGTAGCTGGCCAGCGCCAGGGCGCAGACCACCGGAAACTGGCCATAGCCCGCGGAGAAGCTGGCGGCGTTCGTGCGAGAAGCCGAGTGGACGCTCGGGGGCCCCCTTGACAAAGACGTTGCCCCAAGATCAGGTTTCGGTGGGTAATATATCTCATATGTATGTATGTATGTCTGTCTGTCTGTCTGTCTGTCTGTCTGTCTGTCTGTCTGTCTGTCTGTCTGTCTGTCTGTCTGTCTGTCTGTCTGTCTGTCTGTTTGTCTGTACGTACGTACGTACGTACGTACTTATGTATGTACGTAATACTATGATGCGACTCAAGGCTTCAATACATTGTTGAAGCTGAGCACCCAACAACAAATCAGCGAACAAACCAAAGCAAACCAACCGCCGGCTCGCTGTTTGATTCCGTCCCCAAGAATCAGTTTGCGAGCTTAAAAGGGCCTCCAAAGGTAAATATGAGCGTGCCGACTTTGGGAGCAAAACTCCCCGTTTTTTTGTCTCCTCTTTTTCGGGGACTGTGAGGAAACCAAATAAGGGGCGCTGCCTCTAGGGGGACCAAAGTGAAAAAGAAGACTCATACACGTTGAGGACCCTGAGGCTATCTGGGTCCCAAAGTGGACAAAGGGAGACCACACAGGGTATATGCCCTAAACAAAGGCTCAGCGGAGCCCCAGAGCCCGCCCTCAAACGTGAGATCCTAGCTGAGAAACCTTGCCCCCTTTTCTCCAAAGCCATGCCTCACGGGTGGCTTCCTTTCACCCCTCTTAAAGCCAAAGGCTCTCGCGCCTAGAAGCGACTTGTACTTCACCACAGCAGAGATGGCACTTCGAACCACGTGATCGACGTCTCAAGTACATTTCTTTAAACCAAAAAAGCGGCTTTTCCATGGCTGAAACAAACCAAACCCTGCTCAAACCACCAAGCATCTTTTCAGGGATCCACCATACCACATATCCCCGACGAAAGGAACCGGTCTAACGGGCACCTAATATGAGGGTGTTTCAACAAAAAAACTAGGTGGCCTTTGAGGTGGGTGTTCCCCGGGTTTTCAAGGCGCCCATATTGCGACACCTATAGAAAATTCCCCCCAAAACCTGGCGGGCTTCCTCAGCCACTCAAAAGGGACCGGTTCCTGGCGTAATCTCAGGATGAAGGATTACCTTTGAACAGCCCAGCTTGAAACAGAAACCTCAGATGGCCAGTACGGCCATGGACAAAAAAGAATCGGCGCCCTTTTGTTGTTGTTGCTTGAGTTTAAAGGAACCGGAACCCTCCAAAAAAATAAAAAAGGAAGCAACCCACCGGGCAGAGTACCTGAACCCAAATTCCCCTAAAAAAAGGTTATAGCCCCAAGAATTGTGGGGTGAATGCCCAGGTTTAAAGGTAGCTTGAAACTTGACACGCTTAGGCTCGCAAGCGCGCACGGTGGTTGATCCCTCGCGCCTGTACCTGGCAGCTGTGCCGCCGTAGGCGAAGGCTTCCGCCTCCGACGTCTCCGGCTCTTGCCACTCGCCTGTCACGAGATCCAGCCGAAAAGCCATCAGTTTAACCGATACTCTGGGCAATTTGCCATAAGTCACCGAACAGCCACGGGTTTAACCGATACTCTGTGCAATTTGCCATAAATCACCGAACAGCCACGGGTTTAACCGATACTCTGGGCAATTTGCCATAAATCACCGAACAGCCACGGGTTTAACCGATACTCTGTGCAATTTGCCATAAATCACCGAACAGCCACGGGTTTAACCGATACTGTG